TTGTTAGCAATAGAACAAATACTAACGTAGTCATAAACGTTTAAATCAAACTCTTTCAATAAGTCATTGCGGAACTTTACAAAACTTCTCTTAAAATTCTTACATCTTGTTTGCAGTAAAACGTGCTATATTTTTCTAAGTCGAAGTGGTTTTCATTCTATTCTGCAACCTTTGATGGAATCTATGTTTTTCATGAATGTATCTGCATCATGGATAAACTTACATGCTTCAGAAATGACACCAGTTCTGTTGTCATTTGCTAACAAAACACTGCTGTAGTAGTTATATGGAAATACTTCTTTCGGTCCTGTTTGTAAGTTAAACATAGCAGGAAAATAGTTTAAGCTTCTTATTTATAACTGTAAGAGTCTTTATAATAATTGCCGTCCTTTATATAAGCCAGTTATTTGCATTGTTCGTGAACCTTTAATGATGGGAGTTCCTTTCACTTCTGTCATGTGTCTTAAGATGAAGTTTATGTCATAACTGAGGTTGTGGAAATATATTAAACTCTTGTCAGGAAGTCTTTCCAAAAATTCTGTTGCACAGTTTGACCCCAAATGCTTTCACTAACTGAACCATCTTCACTGTCATAACAGATGTTAAAAGCTTTATGAAAGCCGTCTGTGCTACACTCAAAGTCAGCAAAGAAAACGTGCTCAGGAATGAATTTACATTAGCTTTATTTACTTCTTTTGACTCTGCTTTCTTCTTCAGTTGTACACAATACTTTGGAGCATATTCAAATCTTTAAATGGTGCAAGGTTCTGTTATATAAGTCAGTAGTATATGTGAAAAGTTCTCCATAAGAAATAGGTTCGAAATATTTGCACTCCACAAGTTTTCATAACATCCCATAGCGTGTTGTTCTATCACATAACGAACTACATATTTATCTTCTCTCTTGTATAAATCTTCATCTGTTTCTCAATGTTCATTCCACCACACTCCTTCAAGATTTCTATATAGTTTCGAATGAAATATGTTGTCATTGGTAATCTTTCATTTAGCATGTAGTGGTCTTCAACAAGAAGTAAGTCAATAGTTCTAACAGTTTCGCATTCTTTTGGTATATATCTCTTTATTTCATTATGTCTTGAGTCATTGAAATAACCAATGGTAACATTAAATGCTATACCTGTTGCGTCAGAAATTTCTTGTACTTTACTTTGAGGAAAGTCTCTAACACGAATGACTTCTCTCATGTGGTCAATAGTTTCTTCATTTACTCCAGCCTGAATGCAAGCATAAACGAAACAATTGTCCTCTGTCATAAGTGTTGCAGTTCTTTTGTTCAGTTCATTGAAGATTTGGTAGCGTTCAAGATTTATAGGTAATGTGCAAAGATACTTCCAGAACTGACCGCTTCTCTTCTTATAAAACTTCTTTTCACCATTATCTTTCCAAAAGCTTTCTATAAGTGCTGGGTTTCCTGTTTGCTTAAGAGCTTCCAAAATGGCTTTCTGGTCATTTGTCAGTGTGCTTTCATCTCTATATGGTCTCTTTTTTGGTTTGCCTTTCTTTACATCTGACATCGTTAAGCCTTCATATTCTGTTAAATCATACATCTTTATTTCGTAAGATTCTTTATGTTTGTCAAGAAGAAGTCATAGTGCATTTCAACAATACCTGCAGCATTTGCTTCTATCTCTGATATAAAGTTCTCCTTCAAGAGCTGATGTAGTAATGTTCCAATATTATTGAGGTTTAACGTAGAACATTCATACTTTCCACCAAGTTTATAACATACCATCCATCTCTGTTGCGAGTTTATTTTAATTTTCTCTAAGAGTCTCATGAAAACCTTACCGAAATGTTTGTGTAAGTAGTCTCTGTTTGGTTCATCTAAAGCTTCGATGTTAAAGTCAATGAGTCTATTGCCTGACTTCACATTTCTCTTCCTATTCTCTTCATCTTTCTTTAACCATCTCTCACCTTCTTTTGGTTTGTCGTCAATGGAACGAATGACATCGTTAGCTTTGCGAACTTGTTCTATAGCACTTTTAAACATCTCTCTTCTCTGTTGTTTCAGTGTGTCGTCTCTCTTCTGTTTCACCAACGTTTGCATTTGTTATGTCAAACATCTCTCTTCTTACTTCATGAGGTACAGCTCTTCTTGTTTCACCAACGTTTGCATTTGTTATGTCAAACATCTCTCTTCTTACTTCATGAGGTACTGAACGTCTATGATATAAGTCAATAGCAATGTCATTTAAAGGAAATGCTCTTGCATGGACTTCGTCCTCGCCGCGTTGCGGCTTTATGAACTCATGAATTCTATCATAACTTATTGCACCATTATAGTCTTTAATGAAGTCAGCGAGTGCTTTTTTGTTTGTTGCGTAATGCTTTGCAACATCTATATTAGCTTCTGTAAGAAGTTGTTTTATTTCCGAGTGTTCTAACTTAGACAACTTCCGATACATCTTTAGTAGGAAATAAAAAATATTTTTTGAAAAAATTAGATTAGATTTTTTTTAAGTTATTTTTCAAAATAATTTAATATTTTTATTTTAATGAAACACATGCAAGATTGCAAGTTCTTTTCATACAATGCTCTCGCTACTGCCATCAAGAATGAGTTCAATAATGCTTCAAACGTTAATGTTATCTTTAACAAGAAGTTTGTGAAAGAATCTAAGTTTGGTCAGTATGTCAGACCATTAGCTATCGTCATTGACCGCAAACGTTATACTTCACAAGAGTTAGCAGTAGTTTTGAAACAAAAGGGTTTCTTCGTGAATGTCAAAGATACACACTATACTGTCATAAAGAACTCCAACATTGACTTCTTCAGTATTGCTATGAATCTTTCCGAACAGAAAGAATATAAGAAGGGTGAAACATCTGTGAAATATTATCCTTCATCTCTGAAGACAATAACGAACAAAGATGTTATACAAAAGTTCTTACCAAAGGTTGAAGAAGCTTCAATTGACATTGACGAAGGAAGTGAAATGGTTGAAGAAATAGACCCTGAAGCTATTTAAGCAAAAATATATTTTTGTATAAAATTTCAAAGCATTGAACAAAAAAAGTTTTTTTATTCTTCCTCTTTGAAGTTATCGAAATATTCTGTTATTTTTTCCTTCAGTAATGGTAAGTCTTCTTTGAAGGTAAGTATTGTGCAACCTTTGATGTCATAGTGTGTTTGAGGAAGAGTATTTTTGACAATTTCTTTTATTTGCTCATTCGGTGTCATTGAAATCGGTAAGTTTTCACGATAGAACCAGTTTCTGTCAGATTTATATATTTTAGCAAGGTCGTAAAAGCTTTTGTTGTTTCTTCTGACTAAATGCAACATAACCATATCTCTGTCTTCTTCATTCTCCAACTCTTCAGTATAAATCATATACTTATAGTTCTTTTCCTTTCCTTTTGGTACTGAACGCGGTATTCTTTTCTGTATGCTTTTGTCTTTGGATTCAATGACTTCATCTTTTGCTTGAAGTTTCTTTTCCATCTCTCCACGTTCTTGTCTGTGAATTTCGTCAAGAAGTTTACAAACATACCAAGCATAACGAGGTGAAACCCACATTGCTACAGCATTTACGAGAAGTCTATGAACATAATATCCTCTCAAACCGTTTGGCAATTTTTCACGATTTTCATAGAGTTTTGGCGACTGGGGTTTTTTACCTACTCGCTGTTCTTCACTGTTTTCAGAAAAAAGTATGTCTCGCTGTGCTTCATTTAATAGTTCAATAGTGCTTTGGTTCCTAAACCAGTCTTTAGGAAGTTTAGTATCTGGAGCATAACATGCTGTCAAAATACTTTGCATTTGATACATGTCGTCTTTGACAGAACGAATGAGACGTAACTGTTTGTTATATTGTATGTACTCGTATTCTTCATTTATGGCTTCATGAACGATAGCAGTTGTTGTGTTCTCTAATGTTGACATATCTGTCTTTACATACAAAATAAAAAAATAATAAAAAATAAAAACTAACTTTATTTTTTTTGAGATAAACACTATTTCTTCACAACATTAAATTTTATCCTGTATGAAATGACTTTAAAAAGATTATTGACTGACTTCGAATACTATCTCATTGACGCACTGACAGACCCTCAAAACTGTGTTGAAAGTTCTTTAAGCTTTAAGATTGAAGGTACGACGCATTTTGTCTTCACTTACGTATTGAAAGAATATGACCGTTATCATAACGAAGTGAATCAAACACTAATAAAATTTGTAGATAAAAAATTGGTTAACAATGAATATTTTAAACGTGAAGACCCAAACACTGCTGGAGATGATGAAGAATACAGACAAGTTATTGAAAAAAATAACGCAAGATTAGATGCAATAGAAAAGAAGTTTAATGAATGTCTTACAAACACGTATGAATATCTTATGCAGTGGGAAGCCAGATGGAAATAAATTTACGTCAAATATGCAATTTATAAAATCTTATGTCGACAGGCTACGTAGCACAGTGGTCTAAGGTGGTGTTATGGAGGGGTCAAGGTCTGTGGTTCGAACCGCGACAGCGCCGTATTTTCTTATTTTCTTTGTTTGTCTTGTTTGTCGTGAATAAAAAGTATCATAAAAGTGCTCTATCTTCCACGGGAATAAATAAAAAATTTACTTTATTTCTTCTTTATTTCTTCTTTATTTCTTCTTTATTTCTTTGTTCCCGTGGAAGAAGGGTTTTTGCCGTTTTTTCTCAGCCGAAATCAACGATTTTTTCATTTTTGGAATCCTTAGCAAATGAGGAATCTTTTCTCTCGTGGAAGCTTTGACCAAAAATAATGTTTAGGTGAAGAGGTGAGATGTCACCTGTTTTTTCACCTGTTTTCTCACCCTAGTTATTTTATAAACGTTTCACATGGTAAACGTTATTTTTTTAAATTTTGTGAAAACTCAACGGTTTGACACAAGCCCTAAAAATTATTTTACTCAGAATTTTGTTGCTAAATTCAGTAAAAATAATGTTTAGGTGAAGAGGTGAGATGTCACCTGTTTTTTCACCTGTTTTCTCACCCTAGTTATTTTATAAACGTTTCACATGAATTGTACGATGTATATTTGAAATCCTAAACAATTTCGTAGCTTCTATTTCTTCTTTTAGTATGTCAAAAGTTTTAACAATACCGAAGGTTTCTTTATACTTCTTCTTGACGTCAGATAGAAGGAAATCTTCTGCTGTTGGATAGTTTTTGTTCAGAAATTCTAACATGTCCATTTTATCTTCTGCTGGCTTTTCTGCTTCTTTCTTTAAGTCTGCATAGTCGTTTCTCATTCTTTCTATCTCTTTGACGGAGTAGTTATATTTCCTTATTGCTGCTTTACATTTTGAACATTGTGGGTTCAACTTTGCGTTATATTCTGAAACCTTACCTGCTAAAACAACTAAGGCGTCAATGGTTTTCTTCATCTCAAACATAGCGGGTCTTATCTGTTCATTCCATACCTTACCTCTTCTATCTTTATCTCTTATTTCCCAAACACATTCAGCAACTAATGAAACAAAGTTATCGTAAGTCTTAAACTCCTCAGATTTATATATGTCAGAAATGTTTTTATAAACCATGTCGCAATCTTTGTCCATAACCTTATGGTTGCAATGAAATCCTAGAAACTCATAGTTTACCTTTCGAATGAACTTCTTTATTTCTACTGAGTCAGTTGGTTTCACTTCTATTTCATCGAATTCAGGAATAGTTAGTTTTTGATGCTGAATTTCAGGTAGTTTAGGTAAATGGTCAATAATGTCCTGCATTTCATAAAGATATTCTTCATTTTCTTCATCTTTCGCACTACAGTCTAAATTACTTGTTAAAAGTTCTTGCTTTATCTTCTGGATTTTTGTTTCGAAAAGTATATGAAGAAAGAAGCCTTTGTGTACCATCGTCTATGGTTGGCTATATCGTGATGGGTTGAACGTAGGATTCATGCCTAACGAGTTTGGTGAAGTTGTTTGAATTGTTGTAGAACCTATTGTTTGAAATCATATCTTTACATACAAAATAAAAAAATAAATAATAAAATAAACTAAACGTTATTTTTCTATCTTAAGGAAATTCATGAAAAATCAAGAGGTGAAAAAGAGGATGAAGAAAAACAGGTGACATCTCACCCTTCTCACCTAAACATTATTTTTTGGTGATTCAATAAAAAATAAATGGTTCATTTACTCACAATATTTTTTTACAAAAAACGACCCCAAACTTTTAACTTCTTTCTGCAGCTTCAAATTGCTATCTTAGCAGTTGTTTCATATTCCTTAAATTTCTCTTTCTTTAAAATCTTTCTTGTTCCCCATTGGGTCTAGTTCGTATGCGAGATCTCAAATAATAACCATAATAAATCTCAACCGTTCATGTTCTAATTGTTTTTCACCACATTTTTCCCAACTTCTTTCTGTTGAACAAAGTTGTAGCATTTCTCCACTGTTAATCTTCGAGTTCTTCTTCAATCTAACTTCTCATGAATCTTTCTTGTCTATGAGTCCAAAATATCTTTGAAACATAAAATGTCATACTTTACAGAGCACCATTCAGCAAAAAAATGAACGAGGTTAGGATGTATGTAAATACCTTTGAATTCATTCATAACAGCCCTAGTAAAGCTCATAAATGCTGTTTTGAGGTTGGAGCCACTTTTGGCTCGACCGTATTCTTTCAACCAAAAACTCAAGAATTTCCTGCATTTTAGCACTATTGAGAAAATCTGTTTAAATGGTTTAACTTTCCTGCTTCTCTGCCCATCTTTTGTTGCATTAATTAACCATCCTTGTCTCTACGTAAGACTTCAATACCGTTATAAGTGCCTTTTGTGAATGTTTCGCCATCTAGATTTGTTCGTGAATGTTTTTGCTTCGACTGACATTTCTGTTCTTACATACAAAATAAAAAAATAAATAAAAATAAACTAATTTTATTTTTCTATCTTAACAAGGAAAATTCATAAGAAAAATTCACGGGGTGAGAAAACAGGTGAGAAAAACAGGTGAAATCTCACCTCTTCACCTATAATATATTTTGTCTGATTTACATCCAACGAAAAAGTTTAGAAGAATTTTCTTATTCTTTCTGGCATTGTTTTTATCTTTCCAGTACTCTCCCGCTCTAATGGTCCCAGATGAGTTGGTTTAGATTCTCTCAAGTTTTAGATGGTTATAACATCTTCAACGCCTCCTTTATCTTACTTTATAAGTGTCATCGTTTTGTGTTGTAACCAAGTATTTCAATAACCACTCCTCGCTTTGCTTCGTCAATGGTTTCAGCAAGTTTGCCAATTACTACTTTCAACTAATTTATGTCCGAGGGTAAAATGCTATTGGAGTCGTCAGCAGCTTTAATAAGATATCCATTACCTTGCGTTTAGAGTCTACGATATTAATAATTTCGACTTAACTTAAACGTTTTCTTGTCAGTTGGTTTGTCGTCAAGAACTACACGAACTTTTGTACCAGGAATGAAAGAGTAAAATTGTGTTTGAATTTGATATTTGTGTTATGGCTTCGTTTCTTTTTATATACTTTTCTTCTTGTTGTGGTCATTGGAATTTGGTTGTATGGGTCCTGTTGTTAGAAATGTGTTGAGGAATATAAATACTTCGAGAAAATGTTCATTGTTTCTTCGGTAAAAGTCTCTCGCTCTTGATTTAAAATTCTCTGAGAGTCCTTATGAAGCTGGGTTTATATGATGCCGAGTATGTGATGGTATATGGTCTTCATAAGTGTAAGTGATTATGTTATGCTTAATGAGAAATTCTGTGATTTCATTTGCTGAGGTATGCACTGTCCTTGGTCTCTGTGTTAAAGTACTTGGGTTTAATGTTCTGCTACAAATTTTGTAAAACTCTTAACACTTCATGAGGTTTCCTTTATCTTCTCATATATTACGCATATGCTTTTACGAGTGTTATACTATTTATGAAATGAGGAATGGTTTTATGTCCTCTTTTTCTGCTTTGAATAGAGTGTCAAATGTGGTATGCGTCAGGAAGTGTTTTGGAGTAAATGGTAAAAAGTAGTCGTAAGGGTTCTATTTTGATTTGATGTACAACCATTTGTTCAAAGAAAGCTTTTCACTTCAGCTCTGTTAGTAAAATCCCGAACTCTTTTAGCTTCATTTGAACTCTCTTAAAATGACCTCCATGGATTGTTGTTCGAATACTTTCTTTCAAGCTTCAATTTTATGTAAAAGTTAAAGATTTTAAACCAATTCCGTATTCCAAGCGTGCATTTTATATAAGGAGGCATATAACTTTTCGATTACCTGCTGCGGTCTGTAATAACAGCTACAAAGTGTATGAGTTTTCCTGCATTCACAGAAATAACGCGTTGGCTCTACTCTTTAGGGGTCAGTTGTGATATCATATCTATTCATCCCCCCTTCCCTGTTAAATATTCAGAACCCGCTGCAAAGTTGGTATAACCTCTTTTGTTATTGAATGCTGAATGGTTTCCTTCCAGCAGATGTTCTTGCCACCTGAAACCTAATGCATATGTGAAGGAAAGGTTTTCAATACCTATTTTCTTTGCAAATCCTCCATCTTCCACTTGACTGCGTATTATGTAAGAATGGAAAATCTTGTCAACTATTTCATACATCTACCACCCAAATAAAGTGTGTTTGGATTAGTTGGGATCATAGACGTAAATACAGCTCCCTATAGGATATTATTTAAATCATAATCATGCCATCATAACTTCTATAAACATATTCTAAAGAAACTTATGTCCATTAAAATACCATTTGGCAAGTATCGTCCCGATGAATGTTGTGCAATTTGTCCACTTTTATAATGTAATGTATAGTTCAAAGAATTATCCAAACAAAAATCAAAAGCTATCTGGTTGAAGACGTCTAACCAAAGTTCCAAATGGAGTTGCTGGTTCACCATTTTATATATTTCTTGTTGTAAATGTCATTGTATCTGGTTTCGGAAAATTTCTTTTTAGTTTCTGCATCCACAATAAGTTTTGTCAGCTTTATTATCCTAACATTGTTGGTCAGTTCATGTGCTTCAAAGTTTCTCTGCATGACCTTCAATGTTCATTTACATTTGTTATTTAAGGAGTTTTAAGTGTATCTTTTACCGCTCTGTAATTGGATTTCTCTAAAGGTGCACTTAGATACCAAGGGCAAATAGTTTCAAAATTTACAGATATCGTCGTGCTCTTAATAAGTAAGTGAAGGATTCGTTTGTCATGGTCTCTGTCGGCCTTTACTGTCTAATGTAGCTTGAAGTTCATTTATATCGGAAGAGATAATTGTGTTTTATGAGATTTCAAAAACTTTGTCGTTGCTTGAGTTTCAACTTTGTTCAGCTTTACTTTTAATAGCATCTATCAAACGTTATTTTTGCCCTTAAACTCTCAAAGTAAATCTTGGTTTCAACTAATTACACCGTTAACATTGAAAGTAGAGGCATAAATTTCACGGTATACCAAATGCTTCTGGATGCTTTAGCACATCATCGTAAACATGTACAGCTTATTCATAACCTTTATAACCAGAACCTTATTTAATATCTTCTCTTCATTAACATTTTTTGTCTTCGCCTGTATCACTTTCGTGTTAAATATCCATGGTAAGTTTCGCGTTAAATAATCTGTTGTCTGAATGTTATATAATGAACGTGGTTCTTGACTTTATCACTCAGAGCTTAAACAGCTCTCATTTTTGTCTGCTTTTTCGGGCTAATTTTCTCATTAACATCATTCAACTTCTAACTTCAAGTCTCCTCGCCAGCAGAACTCTTATTATCATTAATCTTTTCTCATATAATTCGGTAATATCTGTCATATAAAGGACTATATTCCGTTTTTCGGTTTTTTAAATAATGAGTCAAAATTTCTTTTCAATCATTACATCGCTGACATTAATGATATCAACCAAATTCCTTTTTTCATTTATCTTTCATATTAGTTCTTTCCATAATGAAATATATAAATCTGTTAATTTTATTTCTTCATCGAGGAGTTATAGAATGTTTTTTGACAATTGAATCATATAACTTCCTCTAAATAAATGCAATAACTCAGGATACACGTGTTTAATGTCTCGAATAACCCGACCAGTATCACTCTGGTTTTCTTCTCTTCTTCGTTCCCGTCGTTATCGTGGTTTTATATCTCATAACCATCATCAACAGCGCAGCCATAACCGGAGGGTTTTGTTGCTACCTGTTCGAAAATCCGTCCGTTTATGTAGGTATATCTAAATATTCTTTGTGTTTGTTAAAACCATTTGAAACATAATCTTTTAAAAACACTAACAAAATTTCCTTGTTTCAGTCACAATCACAATTGTTTCTCTGCCAGCATTTACAAGCTCACCCAATTCCCGCTTTTGGACCTCCAAAACGTTCCATATATTATTTATTTTCACTCTGGATTAGATTGGTCCTTCCATTCAGCGAAAACTAAACACCGCATTCCGCTAAAGCTGGAAAATGAAATTCAGAATGGGATACGACTTTAATTCCACCTTCTTTTTCAAATTTCAATTCCAACGAACTCATATTATTTTTTGAAAATGTTTATCAATTTTCGATTAAAACAACATGAGAATAAAATTTACGCAAATTATTTTAAAA